ACTTTGAATAAATATTCATTATTTTTATAGCCGATTCAAATTCTAAATATTAAATGGCCCACCCCTTAGGTTGCCTGTTTGCATTTATGAAACGCGTTAACTTTAGAAGAGTTTTTTTTTATATAGAATAGGGGGCAAACGAGCATGCGGCTCACCTGATGATAAGTGACTACCGCCGCCCATGAATAATCGCAGCACCAGGGGAATTGCAGATGCATTACCGGCCTTTTAGAAAGGTGTAAGCCCTTTTCTTGAAGGTCCCTATGCTGTATCGGTCCGGGAAAATCGCCGGTGGTAAACAATTCCACAGAGAAGTTGTACGAGGAAGAAAACTCCTAGTAAAACGTACAGTCGTGGACCGCCAAGCATCCAGATGGTGAGGATGGTATCGTAAATTTTGACGCGATGTGCGTTCGTGAAATTCGGCGGCTGGAATTAATCCGAACAATTCCTCAGAGCACTCCCCGTGGTAAATGCGATAGAAAATGCAAAGGGATGCAACATCCCTACGCAGTGCCTGTGTATCGAGCCGATCAGAAAGAACACGGTCGTCGCCGATTCGAACCGCTCTGCGCTGGATGCGATCAAATGGAAGCAGCTAGCATCAGGGAGCGCCGTCCCAGAGATAGGAACAGTGTTCCATGTGTGGCTGAACCTGTGCTTTGTAAATTTGCAGGTGGTGTGCGGGCATGAAATACTGTCCCGCTCTGCTGAGCACGCCAAGCTTTTTAGACGTCAATTTGGCCTTCCTTTTCAAGTGACCACGAAATTGCACACTATTCGATATGTCGACACGAAGGATTCCGATGCTAGCTGAGGCAATTAATAGAATCAGATGTTACTTTGCGGAAGTCCATTATATTAAAGTTGGTAAAAAATTACTTCGCGTACATCCGCTCTATAAAATAAAATGATGTGTCTTACCTAGTTTGAAGAGCACCTCCCGCCCCCCCTCTATTGCGTGGACTATAACCGTCACCACTAATCCCAGCACCACTACTCCCAACACCACTACATTAGGAAGCTTTTTCCGTCCTCGTTATCTCGATTCGAATTGGACGCAAAGAGAGAACTTAAGAGATCGGCTTTCTCCTTTGCAGCATGGACCAGTGAGTCGTCCTCTCTGTACAGAGATAGAAGAGATGGCTGACAGAAGTTCCCTTGGACAGCCTTGCCGAGATACCAGAATGCACGGGTTCCCGAAGGAAGACGAACTTGCTTCTCGCCAATTCTGCCGATGTGCACCTTGCCTTGGCAATGACACTTTTGAAGGACCTGGAGGCGGAATTATACTTCTTTTTAAGAGCGCTGGTGTTTACATCCCGAGACGTTGATGCGTCAGCCCAGGCCCGGTAGCACTCCTGCTTATAGCGTGATGCTATTTTACAGGAGCGACTAAACCAAGTCTGGGATCTGCCTCCGATGGGCACCACAGATGATGGAATAAAAAGTTCCATACCCTGAAGTACCACATCAGCAACAGAATCGGCAACAACGCTGGGATTTTCCGGCAAGCAAACCCGCCCCCAAGGGTAAGATGCAAAAAAAGAGCGCATCCCGTCCCAATCAGCTGACCTATAGTGCCAAACACGGCGGCAAGCTACAGATCGCAACTGCGATTGGAGCATGAGTGGCACCGTACTCCAGATCAGACAATGGTCCAAAGAGCCCAGGGGGGCATCGACGGAGACCTGATATCCGTCCGGATGAGAGGTCAGCAGAAGTTCCAACAGGGAAGGTGTTCCACATCTGGGATCCGCGTAGGCAAAGTAACCAGTTGTTTTAGATCATATGCCAAAGCAAAGTCATAGACAGATCTACCCGCATGATCGGTTAAACGAGAACCAAGCCGTTCAGCGTGGTGGGCGTTAAAATCACCGAGTATCACGATTTCTGCGGATGGGACCTGTTGTAGCACGGAGTCTGCAGCCATTTGGACGTGGTCGATGAGTCGGTCTGTGTCGGCATTACCGCTATACCTATAGAAGACCTATAGAGGCACCCGTAGACGCGGGGATGGTCGTCGTTGTTTACGCGCAGCCATAGGATGGACAGGTCCTTCAAGACCGCCGAGGCGTCGAAAACAAATGTCCTCTTTGACGTATACGCAAACTCCAGCTCGGGGCACAAAGGAGTGTTTCAATTTGTACCCCGGGTAGGAGAGATATGAAGTACCAGCCGGAGAGGACACCTGAGTCTCGGTTAAAAAGAGCAAGGCGGGCTTCGTCGTCTCTAGATGGTAATGGACAGCGTTAAGGTTGGAATGAAGTCCCCTGATGTTGCAAAAATTCACGGATAGCGTGACAGGGGTCGGCTTGCACCGAGCAGCATTAGTCGCGACCTGAATTTTCCTCAGCCTGAGCACCCACGCTCAGGAGTGAAGAAGTTTGGTCGTGGATGCTCAGCGAGGGATTCTTCAGGGGTGTTGATAGCCTCCTGCGGTAGTCTTTTATTTAATTCCATATGCCCCGAGCAGCATTAGTCGCGAGTTGAATTTTCCTCCCCCCAGAATACGCGAGGCAGCCTGAGCACCCACGCTCAGGAGTGAAGTAGTTTGGTCGTAGATGCTCAGCGAGGGATTCTCCAGGGGTGCTGGTACCCTCCTGCGGTAGTCTTTTATTTAATTCCACTACCATGTTGATGGGGGGGGGGGGCATTGGGCCTCCGGCCACCTGCACTCACCAAGCGCAACGCAGAGGTAAACCTCTACTTCACGCTGATATTCTGTGAGGTCTTGGTACCACACCGGCCCATCCGTGCGACAGCAAAAGCTACCGCTTGGCTCTACCACTGTTAAAATCTTTATCTGCGCCGATGAAATCAAAAAATTCTTTAAGATACCCGATGAAATAGTACTCAATCCCATAGGCCATACAAATAGACCGTCAAACGCAAATAGTATTATAACGAAGTTTAGAGCTTAGTGCAAATCTCGGAATCATGATCATAGAGAGTGACGCTCAAGTTTATATAATTGATTCTCAATAAAATTAGAGAACCATGTATCAGCATAATCACTTATAGGGAGTTACAAAGACCATGCCAGAAAAATTCTAGTAAAATGGATAACAAATTGCGCACTCTAACCGCCGCAAACATCTTTCTGTTGGACTTCTCAATATACAGGGACCAAGAAAGATTACGATCAATTTATAGTTTTAGGTCTTTCACATATTTATTAAAAGGTATGACAACACCATTCACAACAATAGGCAGTAGGTTATCCCAACTCATTCTGGAGATTATACATATGTTTCCAACAATAATAGTTAATTTGTGATTTTAAGTACAACTGTAACCGTTTGCTCAGGTCCTAATTAGGCTGTAATGTTTCCTTTTTACAAACTATATTAATTATACTTAATGTAACGTCGACTCTGGTTGCGTCATCACAAACCTTAGTGGTTTTCTGTATGCGACTTTTTAGTATAGTTTTTTTCTGTAATGCTTTGTAATATGGTAAATAAATTTAAAAAAAACCACGCTTATAGCAAGTCTGAATCCCGATTAGGAATTAACATCGGAGTTTCATTATTTTAAATACTTGAAAAAATTAGTTTTCATTATTTCGAATATTTGGAATACGGGTAATCAAGTCGACGATCTACTTCATCAAGTCACATTAATACTAACAGACGCACAGACGGTAACAAATATAAAGATATACTAGGTACTACAACATCGTATTATTAATTATTATGCTGTTCAATCCAGATTGTCCTTGTTTTTGCACCTGACAGGGCGACACGCATATCATACCCGACATTACAATCGTCCTTCGAAGTAGAACAGCCAATTAAATCTATTTATATAATAAAATTTAATAGTTCCATATTACAGTATTCAGAACATATTGGAGAAAAGGCAAATAATTATTTTTATTTATTTAAATTTTTATAAAAAACGTTACCTCCACACTAGCATTTTCTCCTGTGTCGTGGAGACAGTTTACAAACATAAATTACACGAGGACAAAAATCCAGACCCGGAACAATTATTTGTAGGCCATACAAATATTTGTTCCGTGCGAGATTCGAACCCGCGGGCACCAGCGCAACATCTCATTGCTAAGCCACTGCGCCACGGAGCCGTAATATTACTCGTATATATATATATATAGTCATACCACACAACTTAGTTACTTTTTGCTTCAACAACAAACTGTCAGTTACAGAGACACTCAAGCGTGTGTCACGCAAAACGAGTGAAAGCATCGGAGATTATTTTAGTAAAGCTCTACATTCTCTGTTATATCCGAGCCGGAAATCATTATCTACCTAAATTAGAAACGTCTTTGTCTACATATATGAATGTAATCATTAAAACTCTTTATACGAAAATCGAAACGTCAACTGTCGTTCAACATAAATTGATAACTGAAAATAAAATAAAGTTAGTAAACTGTTTGTAGATAGAACTTGAAAGCAATTGAATAATCAACCAAAACTGGTTAAAGTTGAGATTCTGTGTGGGGTCAATTAATATTTTAATGTCTATTTGAGTTGTCCTTAAACGGACAGCGGTTTGGTTAACGATTAGACCGCGGAACAGAACGTAACGCAAGTTGCAAATTTAACTTAATTATCTTCCACTAGTATATTTTTTTCATGCCCAGCTATTTAAACGATATGGGGAAGTGAGATTTATCTAATCAAATCCACTGATTATATGCTCATTTTAAAAGTAATGTGTTTAGTCTGAAAAGTGAATAAAAAGTATTAAACTATGTTTGCAGTATTTTTACATGTGTTGTTTTAATCTAGATCTATAAAACAAAACTGTGTTAGAACTGAAAATTAGTCTTAAACCTACCTTGGAGTAAGTTAAATAATTAAAAATAGATACTAGTTATTTTATTAACTAACTACAATAGCAAACAAAATTTATAATTAGAATGGGTTTAATTGGAGTTCTGTTTTCTCAAAATAAAAGTTATTAAATTAAACTACTCAAGACTACTTACTCATTATTATAAATAAAAAATACTGTAAAAATATTACCTATGACGTATAGCATCTTCGTGCACTCGAACACGCCTTGTTGATTTCATTTTCACCTGAACATTTATTCCAATCAATGTTATGTTTACTAGGTATGTAATTATATCAAGCACGTAACAGGGGACTGTGTTTTAAAATAAATAAAAATTATAATTAAAATCAGGAAATGCTTGTATGCATTCTTTAAAAAAAATATTCTACTGTTTCAACACAACTGCTTAAATCAGTATATAAATTTTTGCCAGTGTGTATAATTTGTGGTAAATGTGGAAAATAAAAATGTGAAGTATTTAATGAGCAGTCGTAAATTTCAAATAGTTGCGGCGGAGGCGTTCATCCCGGCGTACTGTCGACAACAACGCCTGCCTCCGTCATATTTTAATCACGTAATATATAATGCGATAAATCTGTTAAACCTAGCACTGACTAAGCTAAATGTTAAACTATCGATCCAAATATAGAAGGGCATTCTACACGCCTTTAATCGAAGTCATCCTCGTCAATTACTCGTTTTAATGGACAGAACACGAAGCAAAAAAACTATACTTTAGTTTCCTTAGTGCATAGTACGTTATAGTGCCATAGAAATCATTAGATTCGAAACGATCGGCACCTCTTAACGTTACGAACTGACATAAACATTGTCGTGTAAAAAAAAATCAAAACTCCAGACATAACTTACATACCTTTAATTTCACAGTCAATCTAAACAACTCAAAACTGACATCCATAAATATTTACATTCCGCCGTATAGCGCGTGAGTTGGCGTGTGTTAGGGCGCATAGGTCGAGCGGACGAGCAGCCGTCGGCGGCGCGGGCACCGGGCACGCAGGAGACGCGCGGGCGGGCGCGTCGGCAAAGAGCCCCCAGCGCCGGCATACTACGGCGCGTCTAGCGCGGCGTCTGGCGCGGCGGCACTGCGGCGGCGCGCGGCGGGACTGACGACCGCCCGCGCCCGCCCAGCGCACCGCCCGCCCGCCCGCACACCTCTAATTCTAATTGCTGGCCATCTCTGAACATTGAGGTCATCGTGCCCCAACACCATTTTTCCTGCACCCGTCGTGCCATTGTAATTTTAATATTTAACGCTATTCGTGTTTCAATTTATACCAGCACTGCAGTTTCATAAAAAGTAACAAGGGAATAACTTTCGTTTATGGAAAGGAGAGCGGATACTGTGCCCGTATATACGGGCGCAACGAAAAATATTCTTTGTTTTTTTTTTTACCCCCGCCCATATTGCGCGCGATGGTTGTTCTATATTGGATAGGGACTAGCTAAAGGATACTACGATAAGTTGTACGGTATCTGCAAGAAATTGATTATTCGAACCAAACCTCAAGGGATTGTACCTTTTTTAATCAATGCCTGAAAGAAATACAACTGTGTTTTTGTTTCTCAAAATTTGACAACTATTCTTTCCATCTTATTTTTAATCAGCCCTTAGAGATTCACTGCCAGACATGGATCTCTACCGTTGTAGGGAGAATTTGCCATAATTGTTACGTTCAGTAGCTTAAGTGGCGACCGCAGTACCACCTCTCGCGCTTTTGATACTGCTACTTCTTTTACATCTATTGTAACTTGTTATATCGGCATTTGTCAGAATCGATAAGATTTTTCTGGCATTTTCCACAGTAACCGGTTACGACACTTACTAGACGAAATGAGTTGTTGGTCTCTCTATCACCTTCACTAATTGGGAGAAGAAGTATTCAATAGGCAGAATTTAATAATAAAATGGTTTTTAAAATGGAGAAAAAACGCCAAAGAATTTACAATTAAAACTTAACTTACGTCGCTTTATACGTCGAGGGCAAAATTGTTGGTAAGTGGTTGCTGCGGCCCATAGACATCTACATCTATTCTCGATTACGAATCAAAATGGAGATGCATTGTCACCCGTGAGGACTAAGATGGAATGCCTAGTTTCCAGTAAAAAAGATTTCCGGTTCTCTACACTCACCATACGAATCACAGTAGCGTTAAACTGCTATTTTACGTTGATATTCTGTAAGAGCGTGGTCCTTCCCCGGTCGAGCCGACCTATTCGGGCTACAACTATACCTAAAATAGTCTGTCGCAACTGCTTCAACGCGTCATATCTTTAAATATGCTATTCCTCAGGCATGCAGGTTTCCACGTGACGGTTTCCTTCAGCCTCGAGGACGTGGTAAATCAGCACTTAAACATTGAATATTGCATTAGTGCCGGCGGTTACTGAAGGTAGCATCAGCCTGGGTTACTTGCATACTGATAAATTTACGGCGATCACTTAGCTTCTGAAGACACCGCCACGGCTATTGTGAAATATAAACAATTTTCTTTCCTTTTAGTAATTTTTAATATATTGGAAAATCTACCGCAAAATGCAACTGTTATGAAGCACGTGTATTAGATGTACAGTATCTGTAAGAAAATTATTATCCGAAACAAAACCTCAAGGGATAGTACCTTTTTCAGTCAATCCCTGAAAGATATATGACGGTGGTTTATTTTTGGTCAAAAGGGAAACAAACGTAACGGGTATTGAGTTATATATATATACTCTCAATTTTGTAATAAGATTTTTAGTACAAGATATTACATTGTTCTTACGTGAAAACCATCTAGCAGCAGTTATAAAATTATTTTGAATTTACCATAAACTACAATTAGGATGTACTCTTATTGATGTGGCAAAACCGTTTGAAGATAAGAGACTGATGACTTCAAAGTGACATCGAATAAAATTAAAGATTTCATTGCCATAATTTTAAAGGAAACTGAATCTCAATTTTAAACAAGCGTTATACTTTTTTGTCGATGTAGAAGCCAAAAGCCAAAATATTATTTTATTATTTTTTATCTGTCTATCTCTGTCATATTGAACACAATAGACTTGGAAGCTCTTATTAGGACTACTGAATGGACTTTGTTGAAACTTGGCATGTATAACCAAACATGTTTGTGTAATTTCGCGCGGATTCATTTAAATAACTTTGTAATTTCGCTATAGCTGTAATATTCAAGATAGAAACTGTACCGGATAGAAAACGGACTAAGTCAAGTACTTACTAGGTGGTAGGATTCCTTTTCTGCCTGGGACTCCGTCTGGGTAGGCCTGTTGTGTTCTGGCTTGAAGGGTATACAGAACTAGTAAAATTATAGGCTAGGAGGCATTCTAAGTCCTCAGAGGTGACAACGCATCTGTAACCTTTTTGTTTATAGTTCGCTACAGGTAACCATAAAATGCAGTAACTACTTACCATCAGGTGAACTGTAAGTTTGTTTTTTACTTATGTTTTATAAAAAAAAGTATGTGATGCGTCTCATAGAGTCATATCGTATATTATCATGTCTAATTTTTAATCGCTTTGTGTGCGCCTGAGCTCCAACCGCACATATTTATCTTAAAAGTCGGTGTTCAAAATCTTTTGAGAAACCTGAGCCCACCAGATTTATTCAAAGGTACCCGACTCTGCAGCGGATCCTAATAGAGGTGAAGCTCCTAACAGGGTGGTGTCGGGAACAAGTCTTTGTTCCGCGAATTCCACTCATATGGTGTAACTACCACCTGTGCTACCACCCAGCAATTTTTTTAAGTGGGTGAAGTTTCCTGTCAGCGTCTGCTTTCTTTCTTTAGTGGGTTTTTAAAAGAAGAAAAGGAAATACGTGTTATACACATCATATTAAAATTTGTGTTATTACCTATGAAACTGCCGTTCAGGCCATTTCAAATCAAATTATTTTTTTTTGGCTAAAAATTCTAATTTAAAATTAATTTTATTTTAAAACATGGAATTCATTTTTTAAAATTAGTCATTTGTTTATTGATTACCGTTATGTATTCATCGCATATGAATCTTTTTCATCATCATGTTTACGTTATAATGTCCAGTAACTGTGGAATTAAAAATGAAAGCGATTGCGGAATCTGATGATACTCAATCAACGGCTTAATTAGCAGCAGCTTTCGAAGTTAGCATCAAAACAATATTGGTCCATTTGCGACAAATTGGCAACGTAAAAAAGCTTGTCAAATGAGTGCCCCACGAACTCAATGATCACCAGCGTGAAGTAGGCGTCAAGACGTGCCTTACACTGCTCAACAGGCACGCACAAGAAGGAATTTTGAACCGCATTGTTATTTGCTATGAAAAGTGGATTCTATTTGACAATCGTAAGTGCTCAGCCAGTTGGTTGGATCCTGGTTCAGCACCTAAACTATGTCTTAAACGAAAACTTACCCCTAGAAAAATTCGGTGGTCTAGCGCCGGTGTCATTCATTACAGCTTCTTACCAAACTGAGAGATGAGCATTACTGCATATAAGTATTGTGAAGAACTGAACACAAATATGAAGTAGCTCGCACGTCTCCAACTAGCTTTGGTCAAACGCTCGTCCCCGCTGTCATGCACGACAACGCGCGAACCATACTGCACAACAGACGGTCTCCAAGTTACAAAAGTCGGGATTGGAAGCTCTGCGTCATCCGCCATACTCACCAGACCTTGCGCCTATAGAATTCTAATTTTTCTAGAATTTGGATAACTTTTTGGCGGTAAAAAAATTCAATTCAATATAAATTGTTGCCTCCCGGCCAGATGGTTTCTTCAAAAAGGGCACCAATAAACTGCCACAGCGTTGGCAAAGATGCATCGATTGCATAGGTGATTACTTGATTAAAAGAAATAAAAAATGTAGAAAAAAAATACGTTAACTTATTTTATACAAAACGGCAAGTTCATAGGTAAAGACCTAATATTTATACCACGGGTCAAACGCATTTTATTATTATATTATTGGGTCAAATTCGGTTAAATCCTAGTCGAACAGAGAAAAAATTGTCCCCAGAGTTTATAAAACAGTGTAATATAACGTATTAATTACCGCAAAAGAGTTTTAAAATGTTGCCAAAAATAATTACTGCCAACAAATAAGAACAGTGAATTTTATGTGATTTCAAATATTCCTTTTTCAATAGTCTATATAGTGTGTATAAAGGCGTTTATTTTATATTTTGTATGTTAGATATCTGTGTTTTAATATGTAGTTGAAAGTGTACTACAGCTTACATAATACACAAACTTAAAAATTAAATAAATTACGGTCGACTTTGGCCCACTAGGCGACCACTAGTTAATTTATAATTAGCAAATATTAGGCCTGTGGTCACGGTCACTGGTTGTATTATGTGTGAGCTTGCCGCCGATGTTTTGCGTACCTAAACTGAAGACAACGATAGAGAAGACGATAGAAGATTTATAAGGCGACATAAAAAATAAGTCTAATTTATTACGAGATATTTTATGATTATATATTTGGTCTTTACCTTTTTTATTGCCTATATGTAATTGAATTTTAAAATATTTTTTACAAAAAAAACTTTATTATCAAAATAAATTAATCAAAATTTTACTTGCATCTATAGAAGCTTGCTGCACAATAATCGATGACCTCTTTAAAGGCGTTATTTACTGCTTCTTCGAAATTGATTTTTTGCCAATCAAAAAGTTATCATAACTTCGAAAAAAGTGGAAGACTTAACAGGATTTCGCAACAAATATTGGCTCAAGTTCTGAAGATATGGTGGTTAAGAAAGCGTATCTAGCTTTAGTACTGCTAATTTTGAAAACTCTCTATCTTCAACTTTGCGGCACTCAGTTCGTGAGGTAAACATTTTGTCAAGCTTATTTTTTACTGATTCACTGCAAAAATGAACTAACACTGCTTAGCCTAGGTTTGACG